ATTGAATTAATATTCTTTATAAATTAAAATGTATTTTTTATAGATTCAATAGAAATATTCCTATTTGAAATTATTATACCTCCTATTCTAATTAATAAAAATATATCATATATAAAAAATAGAAGAATTATTTTTTAACAAATATTTATACCAGACTTAATCATAATGTTTTCGCCACAAATAATTGAAAACCTAGATAATTATTAATGCTGTTATAATCACAATAAACCTATAAGGTCAGTATGTATTGAACCTCATTATCCATCTAATAAGAGATTTTATTGTGAAGAATGTTTTAAGGCAATAACTATTGAAGTCCTTTAAGCTAAATAAAATAAACAATTGAAAATGAGCTGAAGAATTCCATTTAGAAATGCGAATTATAAATAAATCCTTTTATAAATTTACTCAGGTAATTTGAATAGAAGGTTTAGTCCTTAAAGGATTATTTATTATAAGAAATAAATAGTATAATCAATATTACTTCGGGATGGATACCAAAAATAGAAGTATTGATCAAAAATGAATTTAATTATAGCTTTATTGATGCTGTAGAGAAATTATCTTAAAAAGACGCAGATTAACATCGAAACTCAATAGTTAATAAATTAAATTAAGGCATTTAAAAATACTTAGATGAACAAATTGGATGAAAAAATAGGTAAATTTTTATAATTTGAATAAAGTAAGACAACTGTAGAGATATTTTAACAAATTAAATAGTTATAATAATAATAATCAACACCAGATAGTTAATATAATTCTTTATAGAATATTTATTAGAAATAAAAATTGATTAGAATTTATGTTCTGTTTAACATCCATATGTTATGCTATAGCTATTAACAAGGAAAAAGATATAATTGTTACATCTTCAAATCAACATTTAAGAATCTTTTAATTGAATCAAGAAAGATGAAGTTAGTGTAAGTTCATGGAGGAAAGTATTCTAATTATATCACTATCACTAACCAATAATTTCATCTCTGATTCCGAAGACTCACATATAGTTATTTGGCTTAAAAATAGAACAAGTTAATCACAATAATTTTGGGAACTTTAGCAGATAATAAAAGGACATTTCTTGTATTCATTGTTTAATTATTTACTCTTTTGACTCTCTTTTTATAAGTGGATCTAATGACAAAACCATTACATTTTGGTATCCTTATTAATCAAACTAATGGATACTTTAATAGATTATTTGTGAGCATTCTAAAAGTGTTTTTAGTTTGTCTATTAATTCAAATGATGACTAATTAATTTCATGTTGTAAAGATTTTCTCATCTTGGTAATGTAGAATTTAAATAAATAAAACTGGGCACTATAGGAGAATGCCAGGCCCATAAATTCAAGGAGATAAAAAGATCG